ACTCCAGGGCTAGAGGATCCAACATACTCTCCTGACTTGTGTGGGTACATGTACTGCACAGAAATACATGTAGACAAAATACACACATAAAATAAATCTAAAAAATAAAAATGAGCTAAATTAAGTTGAGTGGTGGTGGTATATGCATTTGGTAGGCAGAGGCAGAGACAGGCAGATGGAGCTCTTTGAGTTTGAGCCCAGCCTGGTCTACAGAGCCAGGAATATACAGAGAAACCCTGTCTTGGGTCAGACGGGCAGGGATGGGGGGGGGGGGGGAGCTAAATTAAAAAAAAAAAATTCTTCCTGAGAAGCCCAGAGCCTACGATGAGCATGGGGTGCATCTGTCTGTCTATTTATCTTCTCTGGGAAGCCATCAACAGCAGGCAGCTCTGGGTCTACTTTATAGTTCTTTGTGGCCTCACAGGTTTTTCTTCCTCCAGACAGACTACTGGACAGCGCTCTAGTACAAACATAAGACAACAGTGTCACAGAGGTCTTCAAGGCCTCTATGATAATGGCAACTGTCAAATCCTAACACAAGAGACAGACAAAAATATTCTCTTACACCAGAAGGGCAGAGAATCAGCCCAACTATAATATAACAAAGGTTCACTCTTAGTTGGAGAAATGTTTGTTTGATAACAAAGCATCTCCAATTCCACAAGGTAAACAAGTCTTGCTTTCTAGCAGCTGAGAGCTAACATATCAAAACTGAATTCGTGCTCTGCCTTGTGAGCAATGGCAGACTAACTGTGACAGCCTATGGCACACACTGTAGAGTACCAATTTCCTGTTTCCAGGAAATCACTTAAAACCAAAAACAATCTCAGAGACAGGGCTGGAGAGATGGGTCAACAGTTAAGAGGACTGACTCCTTTTACAGAGGATCAGTGTCATCCTAACATCCACATGGAGTCTCTCTCTAACCCTAGTTCCAGGGGACCAGATCACCTCTTCTTGACCTCCAATGGCACAGCCCAGACATGATGTACATACATACATGCAGGTAAAACCCATACAAATAAATGATAACCCTCCCCCAAATTTCTTTTATTTAAAAAAGAGAGAAAGAGAAAACTTTCATGTCATTAGACGCCACACTCAAAAAAGCATACAAAATCCTCTAATGTACTTCTAAATTCATTCCAACATAAGAATTAATATCCATCCTCAGACTAGTCTGGTACATCAAATGAGCAACTCTTTACCACTAATATCAATATTTATTATCAACTTAAGCATGGGTAAATAAAATATTAACTTTTTCATTTCAAACAAGGGGTCATGGTGTCAAAAGTAATTCTACAAGAGTCATTGAATATTCAGATATCTATCTAAACAAATGACATCTTTCTACTCACTTATTAGTACAGAACTTAATTAGCATGATTAAATGAAAAATAGTATCATAAAGGGCCTTAAACTTGGTTCCTATAACATAAAAGCACAATTTCACACATAACAATAAGGACAATCTTTACGTATACAAATAATAAGTGCTGTTTTTATAAAATAAGATTTCTTTATTTGTAAATTCAGAATTATACTCAATATTTATATTTTACTCATAACACAAACTTCATAGTTTATAGATTCTATGTGCTACAAATTAAAAAGCCCGTGTTAAAAAAGATTAAGTAAAACTGTTGCTTACTCAGAGCCAATGGGGCGATGATACTATATCCCCTAAGACTGTAGCTCCACTGGTCTGGGATAGAAGGTTTGCAACAGTGAATTTTACTATCTCCCTGAAGTGAATCTAGTGTAGCTTTGTACCAAGCTGAGGATCTGGAGGGAATTGGTACCATAAATATGGTAAAGTGCCTACATTTAAAAGTGCAAGTATACAACTAAGAACTAAAGCCTCACCGACAGCTTTCTCCGACTGTCACAATCTCCACCTCACTGTCAGTTGAGGTGACATTGATCTCTTCATTGGCAGTGACCTGGGGAGTGAAGGAAGCTTCTATCACCACAACATCTTCATCAACACTTCCTGAAAACAAAAGGCAGACCTGTTTAAAAGGCATGTGTATGCTAATCACTAAGCAAAAACTTTTATCTTGACCTTGAAGAGTATTAAACTAATTTCATATTAAATTAATATAAAAAATGGGGAGTTACACAGCATCTTTGTTGTTGAAAAGCCAACAAACGAGCCTAAATAGTCAAAACCAATCCATCTTCAGAAATGTTAAGCAGAGGCAGAGGCAGACAAGGGAATAAGAGCAGCTGGTGGATGGCAGTCTGGGTAGGAATGAGTAGTGAGTGGGTGCAAAAGGCATGAGCTGTGGAACTGGAACCACATCCCAAGAACTCTATACACTGGATCTTCTATAGATAAGCCAACTGAGAAAAAGGCATATTTGAAAGTATAAGCAAAAAATATTAAGAAAATAGTAAAGATTCTGTAATCAAAGTGTGTTCTTCTGTAGGAATACATAGACAAACGAAACACTAAAACTTTCTTCAGAGGAGCTGCAGAGATAGCTCAGAAGGTAAAAGCACTTTGTTACCAAGAATATTGCTCTGAGTTCTTTGTTACCAAGAGTGCTGCTCTGAGTTCTATCCCTGGGACCCAAACAATGGAAGGAGAGAACCAACTCCCAGAAATTATCCTTTGACCTTTACATGCACAATCAACCATCCACATACATACAGTAAATTTATAAATTTAAAAAATTCCAATAGTAAATCCAAATAAAAACAAAATTCAACATATAACAAGGAGGCCATCTCAAACCCATAGGGGGAAAATGTTAATGGGTAACTTGAGAACAGCTGAATAGCTATATGAATTCAGATCCCCTGAACCTATGTAAAATGTGGGAACAGGTAGATACTTGTTGCTCAACGGCCAGCCAGCCTAGCCAAATAATGAGCTGAAGGTTCAGTAAGACACCAACTCTTTTCAAATAAAATGAACAGGTTAAAAACATAATGAGACATCCAACCGCATGCACACAAATGTGCACCACACCAAGTAGATGTAGCGCACTCGCGCGCGCACACACACACACACACACGCACACGAGAGAGAGAGAGAGAGAGAGAGAGAGAGAGAGAGAGAGAGAGAGGTCGGTCTCATATGCATATCTAAGCATATCTGACTGAAAACTCTAAGATTTTAGTGGTATAAAATAGTAAGTTTAAAAATTTAATTAATGAGGGGTTGGAAAGATGGTTCTGTGGTTGCTCTTGCAGAGGACCTGTACTCCAACTTCAGAACACACATGATGGCTCACAAGTCTGTAACACTAGTTACAACATAAATCTAAGCAAAATATACAATAAAATAATAAAATAAATGAAATAATTACCAAAAAATTAAAATGAACAAAACTAAGCAAATCAGTGGGTGGGTCAGGTAGGGCTCACTGAACAATCACAGAAATAAAATACTAAAATAAGCATACTCTTGAACCTAAATTTATTAATTATCTTAAAATAACTGAATTCTGTTGGACATGGTGGTACCTGCCTTTAATCCCAGCATTCAAGAGGATCTCTGTAAGTTTGAGAACAGCCCGGTCTATATGGTGAGTTTCAGAACAGCCAGGGATACACAGTGAGACAGTGAGATCCTGCCTCAAAATAACTATGTATGTATGTATGTATTATGTATGTATGTATGTACGTACGTACGTGTGTGTGTGTATATATATATATATATATGTGTGTGTGTGTGTATATTTATGTTTGGTTTTTTAAAGTTAGGGAAACACAATGTCCAACAAGATTGCTACTAATTCAACTGACACTTCATTTTGGTTTTCTATTTATGAACAGAAATTCCTAATCAATTTAGAAGCCAAGTAATAAAGATGCATTAGGAAAGAAGTATTTCTCAGAATTCTGGTGAACCTGATACATGAACCAATAGTTGTAAAACAATATCCAAAACTAAGTTTATTTTAGGTGAATTGGCAAAAGCAGTGGATAAGGTAAAATTGTTGTATCATAGCTCTTAAAAGCACTAATGAGGCTCAAATTTCTATCAGTCACTCAACTAGCCCACAATGCTGACGCACACTGTTTTATACCCATGTATAAAACTACAGTGACACTGGTAGATAAAAGTAGTTAAGCTGACCCCAATACTATTCTGACTAAAGCATGCTTGAGTTAGTCAACAGACCTGGACTCAAGGTCTGGTTTTTACCAATAAGGCTTTTGTCAGTCACTGGGCATATGATGCTTTTAATGTCAGTGTTCATATGTTTAGGGAGAAAGAAAACTACTTCCAAAGGATGCAAGGAAGACAATTCTTTAAAAAAGCAGAGATTTTTTTAAAAAAAAGCTAATCACCAATATTTCAGTTTCTTATGAATTATAAGCTATTCTATGTGATTCTTGAACTGCTATAATCAGAAAAACATGGAGAGGGTTAAATGACAAACACAAAACTCTGAGAACGAACGGCACTGTGGCTGGAGCTAGCACCTTCAGAGCATCATCCACTGTTGAGAGCAGAGGATCTGGATGTAACTCCTTGGGCATTCTGGCACAGCAGCAACAAACAGACAGTAAAAGAAAAGTGAGATTAAGCAGACTTTGCTGTGATTATAAATGTTAACAGGATTAAACATAGGGGAAATTAGAGTTACCTGTAAAAATAACCACTAAAGTGAAAGAGTACTAAAAGAAAAAATTGGCTGTAAGTCAATTTAAAAGTTAATCTAGTTATGTCCCAGACATTGTGGCATACTCTGGAGGCAGAAGCAAATGGCTCTCTCAGTTCAAGGCCAGCCTGGTCTACAAAGTGAGCTCTAGGACAGCCAGGGCTGCATTATGAGATTCTGTCTCATAATCATCATCAACGCCGTAATTGTAGCCATCATTATTGTCATTTAAATATAATAGTTACTTACAAAACCAATTTACACACACACACACAAATTCAATTGTCTTAATTTTTGTCACTAGAAATTCTTTTAGTATATGGAGGCAGAGTCAGTTTGACACAGCTGTTTATACTGTTTAAGAATAAAAGCTAAGAGTTTTCCATTAACTTGCTGCTCTAGTCTGCCAGTGATAGGTGTGGTTATACACATGAGATAAAACAGTAATGGGCCATTGTACACAGAGATGAAGTGTGTTTTGTCTTTTCTACATGGTCTAGACATTGTTCTTGGTGCCTTATGACTAAGTGTCTTATGAGTTGGATTTACTCAATCAAGGGTGTTTGCAGTTAATCTTTTCACTAATTAAAAATGCTAATAGCTTCAAAAAAGAATAAACGCTAAGAGAACTTGCTTGAGAACTAGGTACAAGCACAGTGGCACTGTACTCCAGTCTTCTCACCTGAGGGAGCAGCGAGGTTGCTGGGGTTCTCACTGGCAGATGCACACAGGTCCTCTTCTCCATCGGTGGAGGAGCTGGAAGAGGAATCGCTGCTGAGGTCGTTCTCACTGGAGCTACTGGAGCTGGAGAGAAGAGCATACTTCCTCTGAGCCAGCGCCTCCCGCTTCTTCCTCTGCACTAGCATCCTCTCCTTCTGCTTCTGTGTCCTCTGTGTGCTCTTCACCAGTCTCTTTCTGCATGGGACTCTCCTTAGTGCACTGCCATGAAAACAGGGTCTTTTCATCAACAAACTTGGCATAGGTTCTGCCTCAGTCCGAGGCCACTTGTGGGACCTTGCACTGTGACTTCTGCTTTTAGCACTCAGAACAGGCTGGGAATGTCTCACTGAGACTTCTTTATCCTCATCTGAAGTCACAGTATCAAAGTCCCCAAAATGGACACTAGATGAGGGAGAAGACAGACACTCGCTGACAGAAGAGTCATTATCCTCATCACTTGGTGTCTCTAGGTGTTGCCTCAATCCTAGGATTTCCTGATTTTCTTTAACACAGTTCTGCACATATGAGGGGCCAGCCTGCTGGCTTTTGCGCTTTTTCCTCACAACACCACTTTTTTCTTGTTCTTGCTGGTTGCCATTCATGTCCTTCTCTTGTTTTTGAGAATCATCACACAGATGAGAGAATTCATTCCCCACTTTGCTATTAATCATCTCCACTTCTGCAGGGAAGCTCTTGGTGGCCCCTAGGGGCTGTGGGTGCAGAAGGACCGCCTTCAGACTCTCTTGTGTAGTGGGCGCATCAGGAGTCCCACTCTTCATAGCCACTTTTAAGGTGTAGAGCTCATTACATTCAGGAGTCCATTGAGACATGGGAAACTTTAGAGAAGGCCTAGGAGACATAAGCCAGGCATTTAAAGAATGCAATACATCTGTACTACACAACCAACTAGAGTTTTCAGCAGTCATAATGCAACTATTCTTCCACTTGAGGACAGTGTGACTAAACAGAGTTATCCACTTGACTGTTCTCATGAATTCTTCTAGTATTTCTGCTTCTATCCACGCTCACAGACACAGCTAACTAGTACACAAGTCTTGACAACTTCTAGTAACCAAATGGGCCTTGCAGTATTCCTGCTAACTTCTACAATATACAGACTTGGTCAAAATCAAACACTTCCTTTAAAGCTTCCTTCATTAAACTAGAGAAGAGAATTAGATTTCAAAAGACTGACATCTACTCCAACAGTCCCACCTCTGGGCACAGTCAAAGGAAACCAGTCTGCTGAAGTCACAGAAGCATTTTCATGTTCACAGTAGTACAAATGGCAATGGACAAATGACAGATGAAAAAAATTTAGTAGATACACTAAATGCCATTCACCCATAAAAAAAAAGAATGAAATTTTTTCATCTATAACAACCTAACGGAATTATATATTGTTGGGAGCCGACTCCTAGCCAAAAGCGGCTATCATCTTTGCAGCCATCTCGAGCCAAATACCCTGACAAGAGACTTGTTTTCAACACCCTACAACATCTGAGCACACCCTGAGAGACATCTTGTTTTTCTCACATGTTCTGCTGTTTAGTGCCTCCAGCAGCTAGGTGCACGTGGTCTCCACACACTGCTAGGTAGGTGCACGTGATATCCACACTGCAAGGCACATGACATAGTGCCTTCAGCTGTGCTTGTCCACGAGGGCAAGGCACGTGGTAAAGGGTATAAATACCCAGGATTTCCTTTCAATAAATGAGACTTGATCAGACTCCCTGTCTTGTCCCCACTCTCTCTCTTGCTAGGCCCTGACCAGAAGACTGGAGCAGCAGAACGAGCCGTTACAAAGTGACCCCCAAACGTGAGGCAGCTTAGGCAGTTACAATATATCATTACTCTGGGTGAAATAAAGCAGTTGGAAAGGTCTGGGACTGTGTAAGGGTACGTTGGTTCTTGGCTGGGCATGGGCCTGGAACCCCGAAACTCCAAGGGAGAAATGGCAGGTGTTCGGCCACGTCCCCAGAACCCAGGGTCCTGACACACAGTCTAGTCTCCATAGACCTACATTGTTCAGTCACATAGGCCATTACAACCCCTCCCAAAGTGCATAGGTAGAGGGTGTGACTACAGGCCTCAGGCCCTAGAGATTTACATACTAGTGAAGGCCAGAGGGTGGAACCAATTAAGCATTCTTCCCCAGACCCTCCCCCTTTCTTCCTCCCTATTTAACTTAGGTCTGGCCTGAGTTTTGAGGGGGTACATCCAGATCGATCTATCATCTGCCATGAAAATAAACCCTTTTGGAACTATGGACATTCTTGTGCCTTTGGGACTCCAGACCTTTCTCCTGTTTGTGGGACCCGCTGGTGCTGCCGTGGAAAGCCTCCGGGACTCCACCACTGCGGCCTGTTTTCCCACAGAAAGGCACATTCCACGTGACTTTATTCACATGTGGGATCAACTAAACTTAATCTCACGGAGGCTGAGAGCAGAATGATGGTTACCAGAGGCTGGAGAGGGTGAGGTAGGTTGGTCAATAGGTAGTAGTTACAGCTTGATATGAGCAAGTTCTGGTGATAATATGCAATGAAGTGATCCCAGAAGATACTGTACTTTGTGCTTCAAATGGCTAGAGAAGATTTTGAAAATTATATCCTAGAGAATGATGTCTGTGGAAGCAAGTTAACCTGATTGAAACATCACACTTATCATACTTATCAAAATGTCAATGGTACTGAAAACTATCTACAACGTTTAAGTTTTTATGTATCATTTAAACTAAAATTAGGGAGGCTACACTCCCTTGAGGATCTACAGAGAACCACTGGATGCTAGGGGAGGGAGGCATGCTCTTCTCTGGTACAGCCACTGATAAATTGGCCACGCTCCTACAATAATCCCTCACTCGCCGGGCAGTGGTGGTGCACGCCTTTAATCCCAGCACTTGGGAGGCAGAGGCAGGCGGATTTCTGAGTTGGAGGCCAGCCTGGTCTACAGAAGGAGTTCCAGGACAGCCAGGGCTATACAGAGAAACCCTGTCTCGAAAAACTAAAAAGAACCAGGTTGCTAAAGATCACTATTAAAGCAGTAACACAGCAGAAAATAAAATCAAACTTCCCACAGCTGAGCTAAATGTGCTAAATCTCACTTCTGAAATTGAGCTGCTGAAAAAGAGTATAATTTACAGCAATACCAATGTAATCTTTTAAGTTTTATTATTATTGTATGCATGATGTGTGTGGCACTTGTCCCATGGTGTGTATGTGAAGGCCACAAGACAATTTTGTGAAGTTGGTTCTCTTCACAGAGCCAATTCAGACAGCCAGGCCTAAATATAAAGCTGAGCCATCTTGCTGATTCACAGTGTAATTCTGTACATAAAAGGATGATAATGTAAAAATTGTGAACATCACTGGAAAGATAGCTAGCCTGACAAGTGAACCATTGCATTAAAGTACCAAAATCTAAGCAGGGGTCAACATGGTGTATGTTTTTGAGACAGTCTCAGTACCTTACTTAGACTCTTTGAAAACTGCCAGGATCAAGGACATCTCTTCCCTCAGCTTCAAGTAGGGGTGACAACAGGTGCATGCCACACCTGGATTTACATTATTTTCAACATCAGTTTTTATTAAGCACAACATGTAATACCCAGTTTGATGAGCTTTTGTGGAACTAGCACCCAGAAGAAGAAGCATCATTAGTGTTCATCACCTCCATCCATCAGCAGCTAGAACCACTATCCTAACTTCCAAAATGATAAAAGTGTTTCACAAGTAACAAACATTTTAAAACCACTTCCAACAAACAAAACAGGTATTTGATATCAAGCAAGGGTTTTCTTCCATCTCCATGAACAAGTTACCAAAATGCATAATCAGATTACATGAAAGTAAAATCCACAATGTCCTATCCCTAAAGAAACCATTCAACCCTTTCCTTGCAAGATTATTACAAGGGCAGGCAATGATGTTTCCAAGCTCAATCATTAAATCCCACCTGCAGTATAGCATGGTGAGCAAACACAGGGGCATAGCAAACAACAAATTTACAGGAGGCAGCTAGTCAGACCAAGATGATCATTAACTAAGGGCAAGAAAGAACAGTTCAAAATGATGAGGGAAGGAGGTTTATGACATTGGTTTCAGTAACAGATAAATCAGTGCTGGAAAAGATGTAAAGAAACTGGAGGGGCTGGAGAGATGGCTCAGTGGTTAAGAGCACTGTACGTTCTTCTAGAGGTCCTGAGTTCAATTCCCAGCAACCACATGGTGGTTCACAACCATCTGTAAAGAGATCTGATGCCATCTTCTGGTGTGTCTGAAGATAGCCACAGTGTACTCATATACATAAAATAAATCTTAAAAAAAAAAAAAAAGAAAGAAAGAAACTGGAACCAGTCATGCATAGTGGCCCACACCTTGAATCCTAGCACTTGAAAGCAGAGACAGGCGTATCTCTGAGGGTTTGAGGCTAGTTTGGTCTACAAAGCAAGTTCCAGGCCAGTCAGGGATACATGGTAAGACCCTGTCTCAAAAAAGAAGAGAAGAAAAGAGACAGAGAAAGAGGAAGAGGAAGAGACGAGACAGGAAGGAAGGAAGGGAGGGAGGGAGGGAGGGAGGGAGGGAGGGAGGGAGGGAGGGAGGAACTAAGGAAAAAATTAGAGCCATTAATATGTTGCTGATGGGAATGTAAAATGATGTGGCCAGACTGAGAAGCAGCCTAGCACTTCCTGAAAGATTAGGTCCAGGGAAGGTGGACTATCTCAGGGGCGGAGCATATTTAAGGCTATATTCATTCTCCAGTACCAAAACCAATACAGAATCAA